GAGCTGTGACTCAGTTTCTGGCAAGTCAGAAAATGTTTTGCACCAAATCACATTCAGGGGTGTGAAACATTAGTATGTATCTCAGCCATCCAGAGAAGCAAGGATACCGCGAAATGCAATACATGGAAAGAAATACCTGGCTAGTCGGGTGAAACTGTAGATGATTTGTGTGTCCTGGAGTTGTGTTCTGTCCTGGCAAACCTCTGAACGAGACATCAGGAAAACGTCAAGCTTAGTACTAATCACAGGCTCTTCCTGAGGTGACTCATACCTTCCCTGTTTCAGGTGGTGTGTCAGCACCGACAACAACGTACCCCACTGGTATAGAAAGTCGGTGGAGTCATAGCACACTTTTCTAAAATCATTGTCTGTTTGAGGCTTGGCACTCTTTTTTACACTCACCTCCCCCTCTCTCCTTCTCCCCCTTCCCTCTCTCTCTTGGACAGGAAGCACGCCCTGAACTGCCACAGAATGAAGCCAGCCCTCTTCAGTGTCCTGTGTGAGATCAAGGAGAAAACAGGTGAGCCCTGCCACTACTGTGCCGCTGATGTCATTACTGTGCCACTGAGGTCATTACTGTGCCACTGAGGTCATTACTGTGCCTCTGACGTCATTACTGTGCCACTGAGGTCATTGATGTGCTACTGACATCATTACTGTGTCTCTGATGTCATTACTGTTATACTGACATCATTACTGCGCTACTGACGTCATTACTGTGCATCCAAAGCCGTGGCTGTTATACTAATGTCATTACTGTGCCACTAACATCATGACTGTGCTAAAGACGTCATTAGTGTTACTTGTGGTGTTGCTGCTAGCTCAACCGGTAAGGGCTGACACAGGCCCTCCGGTTCAGTACACTGCTGTCATTGTTCTCTCAGTTTAGCCCATTACAGGGTTTCTCTTACCTGCATGCTCCCAGAGGAATAGCCGCCTCTCCAGCTAATCTATTCCATTAATAAGAGCACAGGATATCCTTCCCCCCTCCCCAGAGCATTCAGCTTAGACCCACACGGGTCCACAATCTCAGCTGCTTGAGAGAGTCGGTCAGAGTCCACAGCTGAAAGAGGTTCATGGTCTGAGTGTAGTCGTTTCAGAGCGGTGACTGGTGTTTCCTGCCGTTAGATACCCTGATGTGTGTTTACTCTGTGACCAGGGCGGGCGGGTCTGCCTTAAGTGACATCATAATCGGGCTGCTGGAGCTCTGCAGCCCAGGGGAGCAGTCACTGTGATGTCGCTGTGTGATGTCACTGTGATGTCGCTGTGTGATGTCACTGTGATGGCTATGTGATGTCACTGTGATGTTGCTGTGTGATGTCACTGTGTGATGTCACTGTGATGTCGCTGTGTGATGTCACTGTGTGATGTCACTGTGATGTCGCTGTGTGATGTCACTGTGATGTCGCTGTGTGATGTCACTGTGATGTCGCTGTGTGATGTCACTGTGATGTCGCTATGTGATGTCACTGTGATGTTGCTGTGTGATGTCACTGTGTGATGTCGCTGTGGCAGTTCTGCTGGCTGATGTCTAGCGGAGAGAGGGAGCAGTCCGGGGGAAAGTGAGGCTGTGGCGTGGTGGGTGTGGCAGGAGGGTGCGGCGCAGGTGTGGCGTGGATGGTTGCTATGGCAGCGGTTTCGTGGGGCGCAGCGGCAGCCTCGAGCTCGGTGGCATTTCTCTCGCGTCCCCTTGGTACGATTCCCTCGCTGTCCTTCCGTATCTAATGTCACCTTGCTTTCTCTTGTGTTCGCACTCCCTCTCTCTCCTCTCCCTCTCTTTCTCCTTCCTCCCCCTCCTCACCCCCCTTCACTCCCTTGCTCTCTTCCTCATTTGATGAAACGCAGTGTTAGTGGGATTGTGTTGCGGTTATCATGCCGATCTGTCAATCACCTTCCCTTGCTTGCCCCCGATTGGCAGAGAGCAAAGGGGAGGCTGAAGGGGGATGGGGGGGGGGGGGTCGTCCCTGTTGCCTGGGCAACTGGCGGTCTTATTTACCTAATGTCCTCTCGCTGCTGTGAGAGAGCAGCAGAGTGGTGTGTGTGTGTGTGTGTGTGTGTGTGTGTGTGTGTGTGTGTGTGTGTGCGCAATATGTGTACATGTGTGCACTCACACTCTCACTCCTCCTCACACACACACGCAAGCACATTGTGGCGCTTTTCTGACTGAGACCAGCAGATAGGAATGCTGTTTTCTCCCTCTCTCCTCCCCTTCTCTTCCCTCTCACTCTCACTCCTTTGCTCTCCCTCCCTCTCTCCCTCTCTCTCTCTCTCTCTGGCTCTTGAAAGCAGAGACACGCTCTGAACTCTGCTTTGATATGGTAATGTCTGCGGGGGGAGGGGAGAGGGGGAGAGTGGGGGGAGGGGGAGGAAAATTCCTCAGAGTGCAGTTTGGTAGATTGTTTTCATTGTTAAGGAAATGTTCTGCTCAAAATGCCAGGTCTGTTTCTCTCTCTCCCTCTCCCCCTCCTCTGTTTCCCTCTCTTTCACGCTTTCTCATTCTGCCTTCCTTTCGCTCTGGCTTCTCTCTTTTCTCACTTTCAGCATAACCTTTTTGCTGTTAAGTGTCACTGTTCTTTAACACTTCAGTCACATTAAAAACAACTGAAAAGGCATGTATTGAAAGTTGAAAGACTCCCCCCCTCCCTTCCCCCTCTCCCTCTCTCCTTCTATATCTCTCTCCCTCTCCCTCTCTCTCTCTGGTTCCTTCCCCTCCCTCTCCCTGGTGCTTGCAAGCTCCTTGTAAAAATAGCTCTATTGGCATGACTGGGATATTCCAGCGCAGCCAAGACGCACACAATAGCTCGAGTGTTCGCAGGACCGCTGTAGGTCTCGCCCTCCTGTCTCTTTCTCGCTGCATGTGGCAATTTTCCTGTCGTCTGTCTATCTCCCAGTTTCCATTGTGCCCTACTCTGCCAGTCTCTTTGTTTCTCTTCAGCCTTCCCTTTGTGTCCTCCTTCTTTCCTGTTCTCTTCCTCTCCGCTGTCTCTCTGTTCCTCTTCGCTGTCTATGTTCCTGTCCACTGTCTCTGCCCTCTCTGTCTCTCTGTTCTTCTCCTCTGTCTCCCTGGTCTTCCTATGTGTCTCACTGTTCTTCTCCCCTGTCTCTCAATTCCTCTCCACTGTCTCTCCGTTCCTCTGCACCGTCTCTCTGTTCCTTTTCACTGTCTCTGTGTTCTCCGCTGTCTCTCTCTTCCTTTTCACTGCCTCTCTTCCTCTCCTCTGTCCCCCTGGTCCACTTCTCTCTCTGTTCTCCTCCTCTGTCTCTGTCCTCTGTCTCCCTGGTCCTCCTATGTGTCTCTGTTCTTCTCCCCTGTCTCTCCATTCCTCTCTGCTGTCTCTCTCTTCCTTTTCACTGCCTCTCTTCCTCTCCTCTGTCCCCCTGGTCCACCTCTCTGTCTCTCTGTTCTCCTCCTCTGTCTCTGTCCTCTGTCTCCCTGGTCCTCCTATGTGTCTCTGTTCTTCTCCCCTGTCTCTCCATTCCTCTCCACTGTCTCTCTGTTCCTCTGCACTGTCTCTCTGTTACCCTCCACTGTCTCTCTCTTCCTCTCATCTGTCCCCCTGGCCCTCTTCTCTCTCTCTCTGTTTCTTCTTACTGTCTCGTCCGTCACCCCCCTTCTGTTCCTTTCCTTTCCTTTGTCTCAGGTTTTCGCCTGTGTTTAGTATGCATTTCCTGGAACAATAAGCCGTACCGTCCGCTCGTTTTGCTGCGACCCCGTCCCGCCCCCCCTCACTCGCGCCCCGTGAAGGCTGCTGCTGTGACTGACTCAGATCGTGTCGTCTTTGTTGTGGTCAGCGCTGCTAGTAGGTCAGCCGAGCCCAGATCGCTGTGTTCCCATGTTTCGGGGGCCCCTGAAGTCCCCCTCACTCTTCTGCTCCGCCGCTCAACCTTAATCAAAGCCATGCTCGGCACAATTAAAGCCGCTTAATTGTTATTAGTTTTTGGAAGGAGCTCAATTTCAAGTCGCCCATTAAATTTTATTAGTCTCTGAAAACCTCCAACTTTTATTTACGAGCCGAAAACCAAGGGCTGGGTAGGGAGGGATTGGAGACAGGTATGGAAGAGGGGGGTATTCTAGGGTGCCTGGATAGTGTAGGGGGAGACTGAATTTGGGGGGGTTTGTTGGTTGTGGGGGTACGAGGCTGGGTGAGGGGGATTCGGGGTGGAGGAGGGAACATGTAGGTGGAGCATGCTGTTTGCAGGTGCAGGTGTAGGCTGGGGTGTGTGTGTGTGTGTGTGTGTGTGTGTGTGTGTGTGTGTGTGTGTGTGTGTGTGTGTGTGTGTGTGTGTGTGTGTGTGTGTGTGTGTGTGTGTGTGTGTGTGTGTGTGTGTGTGTGTGTGTGTGTGTGTGTGTGTGTGTGTGTGTGTGTGTGTGTGTGTGTGTGTGTGTGTGTGTGTGTGTGTGTGTGTGTGAGTGTGTGTGTGTGTGTGTGTGTGTGTGTGTGTGTGTGTGTGGGTGTGTGTGTGTGTGTGTGTGTGTGTGTGTGTGTGTGTGTGTGTGTGTGTGTGTGTGAGTGTGTGTGTGTGTTTGGGTGTGTGTGTGTGAGTGTGTGTGTGTGTGTGTGTGTGTGTGTGTGTGTGTGTGTGTGTTTGTGGGAGTGTGTGTGTGTGTGTGTGTGTGTTTGGGAGTGTGTGTGTGTGTGTGTGTGTGTGTGTGTGTGTGTGTGTGTGTGTGTGTGTGTGTGTGTGTGTGTGTGTGTGAGTGTGTGTGTGTGTGTGTGTGTGTGTGTGTGTGTGTGTGTGTGTGGGGGATGAGAGTCAGGAGTGTTTTTGGGAGTGTTCAGAGGCCTCCTCCTCTGAGGCATAACACAGCAAGTCTCACTTGCTTACAGAAAAAAATCGGGGGGGGGGGGACACAAAGGTATCCCATGAGAACCTGGAAAGTTTTAAGGGTGCAGCCGGTCTGGGAGCCGGTCCTTCCTGGGGCTGGCTGTCTAGGAGTGACGTCACCTTTACCTCTCTTTGTGACGAGAGGGAATAACAGGGCAGCGCTGTGGGCATCGGTCTGGCATAGTGGTAACGAGCAGGGCTTGTAACCGAGAGGTTGCTGGTTCGATTCCCGCGCAGACACCGCTGTTGTACCCTAGTGCAAGGTACTTAACCCACAGTTGCCTCCTGCGACTGTAAATATCCAGCTATATACATGGATAAAAATTGTAACCCATATGTATGTCAGTCGCTTTGGATAAGAGCTTCTGCTAAATGACAGTAATGGAGTCTAATGTAATGAATAATATTTGCACTTTTGGTCAGGGTTTTCCAACAGATTTACCTGACTCTTTGAGATGCGTTGTTAACTGACAGAGGAGTGGAAACAAGACCCAGAGTTGCATGGTCTCCATACAATATCCTTGACCTCAGAAGGAGGTGCAGTTCTAATGCACAGTGAAGGTGGATGGACTGGATGCTCTACCGGCGGACATCTTCATTTGCAGTGAGAAGACGTGATGCTAAGTGGTGTGAAGCGGTAGGAAGGCAGGGGCACACTGTCGCAAGTTGAGCCAGCTGTCATGTGAGAGATGACGGTGTTTGTGGTGCGAAGACAGAACGCGTGTCAGATTTGCAAGAAGATGCATATATATCATGACGGAAGAACCGCCCCCTGTCAAAAGTGTGAATTCTTCAGGTCTACAGGTGAGAGACTGTGGGGCTCCGCACTACCTGGGCAAATGGCGTTCGGGTGCGTTTTCGTCCGGTCGTAAGCGCTGATGACGTGACGGTTCCTCCGTGTTGGTGCTGCCTGGCGCCTGCAGACAGTAGCACGTGCAGGCTGAAAATGAAAGCATTCTTGCAGACAGTGAGAGAGAGAGGGAGGGAGAGGAAGAGAAAGAAAGGGAGAGGGAGAAAGGGAAAGAGAATGTGAGTGAGTGAGAGAGAGAAAGAAAGGGAGAGAGGCAGAGAGGGAGAAAAAGGGAAAGGGCGAGATAGGGAGAGAGAGAGTCTTGATTGATGAGGCAGCAGGAGCAGCAGTAATTACTCTGTCCATTTCCCCACACTGGATTGGCAGACAGCTGATATCTTCCAGACCCCTGGCCCTGACAACCCACCCCTCCCCCAACACAAGCTCTCTGACTGGGGGTGCGCGATCACCTGTAGCCCCTGCTCTGGCCTAACAGTGTGGGCTGTTTTTTTTGCTTCTGAAATTGAGCCTTCAAGCTGTTACACAGCTCATTGTTATCCCAACAAAGTACAAGAGAGCCTGTTCCTCGTTCCATCTGATAAAAAAAAAAACAGAACTTCACATGTGGATGCTGTTGATGTAGTTGAGTTATTTTTATATTCGGGATCTCACTTTGAAATATGACCCGCAATTTAAATAACAGCATAGAATGAAAATGAAAAAACTTTTGACAGCTTCAGGTAATTCTTTAAAAAAATGTTTCAAATAGTTAGAAAAAAAGGGCCATTTTCATCTCTCGGGCAGACAGGTGTTAGAAATTCCACAATCCCTGGTTCTGTTTGTCTGTTAATCACAGAAATGACCATGAACAGAAATGACAGTGAACAGAAAGCATAAGCCCCAACTCTGTCTTACCTCCGAGCTTCATGCAGAGTGCTTCAAAACTCGGTCATGGTGCGTCTCTCTTGCATCACGGCCAGTGGGAGTCCATGTTCATACATTTTACCGCAGTGTGCTCCTGGTTCAAAGCTCTGGAGCTCATTTTGACCAGGCGTGCCCACGATGCAGAATGTGTCCCGAACATAATGAACCGAGAATCGAACTGTAAGTTTTTTTTTTTTTTTTTTTCCCAGCGCAGGTCAGCCACAGAAGCAAAAAGGGGCTTCATTTCAGTGGAGATCTCACCTGCACGATGGGCTCTTCAAAGCCTCGAAGACACCGCGGTTTTTGTGAAAACTGTTTCTGCGTTTTGTGCTCTGGGTCTCAGGCCGGACAGTCATCCGCATTGGGATGCCTGGGGAGCCGGCTGTTGTAGAATCTTTGTGAAACTTTCTGTAACCTCCCCGTCTCCTACCCCCCATGCCCCCCCACACACACATTTTTCTGCATCGCGTAAAGTCTTCCCACAGACACATTTACACATTTGCTCGCTGTTGTCCTCAAACGCCACGCTTGCCTTCTGTCGCTTACTGTCTTGCAGCATATGGCAGAACCACACCCCCCCTTCCCCCTTTTCCAGTGTGACTGCTTTTGGAACACATTAGGAGCTCTTTTTAGCCTGACTGTTTTTTTTTTTTTATGTATATAAGTCTGAAATGATATTGTGTCTGGTTGACGGTGGTAGTGGTACCTGAGATGTGTGACGCAGTCTTTGCGGTGGCAGCTGGCCCGTGGTTGTTCATTAGGCTGGAGCACAGCACATAGAGTTAGGGCTGAGAGTCTCATCTGAAGCCTGCATCTGTGAGCGTCGCGCATTAATTGATCACTTGCTAATTAATACCGGAGGCCTGTCTCGTTAAAGTGAGCAGCGGAGGCCGGTGATTGGGCCAGATTCTCGTCAGTCGATATTACTCTCGCGTCTCGAATCCATTCACTCTCTCGCGCGCATGCTGTTACTGTGATCATCATTAAAGTCTGTTTTTTTAACTTGTGGTATATGCAGTCTGGCTCACACACACACACACGCACATACACTAACTCACATACACACAAACACACTCTCATTCACTCCCTTGCTCTCACACACACACATACACACACACACACACACACACACTTGCACACAAGCACACACTCATTCACTCCCTTGCTCTGTCACATACACGAACACACATTAAGTTGCTCACACATACACAAATGCACACACTCACACTCACTCACACACACGCGCACTCACACACACGCGCATACACACTCACACACAGGCACCTTCACATAAGCACACACACCCTTTCCACTGTGGTGTTGAGTGTTTGTAATCAGTGCTCAGGGTGTGTTTACCTGTGTGGTTTTCACTGTGCGCGGGTTTGAATGTTTTTGTTTTTGAAGGCCTTTATAGTCAGGCACTTTCTGGTCTCAGACAAAATGAAGTACCTGGGTGAGGCCCCTGCTGCTGCTCCCTCCGTGTCTCCCTCGTCTGCAGCTCGTTAAGGAAGACCCCATCTCTGTAATTAAAAGTATGTAAATGTGGCCTCTGCTGGATTGTGTTAGTGTGGTCGGAATGGGGCTCGGAGAGCCAGGCTCGTAATCCAGACTAATTAAGGATTAATTAAAACTAATGGGAGCTGGCTCCTCTTCTGCTCCCTCCCCTCCACTGTCCTTCTCTCTCCTTAGAGCTGGGGCCTTGCCAGGAGAGGGAAGCAATCAAAACAATCCCTCTCACACATCACAACCAAGCCATGCTGGGGATAAAACTTTCACATTACATTACTGCCATTTAGCAGACGCTCTTATCCAGGGCAAATTACATAGGTTACAGTTTTATATGTTATCCATTTATGCAGCTGGATATTTACTGAGGCAGTTCTGGGTTAGGTACCTTGCCCAAGGGTACAGCAGCAGTGCCCCAACGGGGAATCAAACCTGCAACCTTTTGTTTATGAGCCCCGCTCCTTACCGCTGTGCCACACTGCCGCCTTTTGCCAGCTGCAAGGTAAAGATTTGGTTGAAACACGCAAGACCTGACTGGCAGACAACAGCAGAGGGTTTCCCCTGCTGTGCGTTAGCTTCCCAGCTAATTACGTTAAGCTAACTGAGTTAAGACTGCAGATATGAAGTTAGCTAGCTGCATGTATGGAATATTTGTCCTTTCAACCCTGTACATGTTTTAGTCTCTGAGAAATGGTGCAGTTTTGATGAGAGTATCACAGCTGTTCTTGATAGCGTAGGGACCTTGCAGCATATATACTGCAGACTTTCTTGGATCTGTTAGATAAGGCAGTCTCTCACACTCTTACAGATTTAACAGGAAGAGCAAGGAACAAGGAATACAAAAACTGTGATGTACAAAAAAAATGCCACATCTTTCAAGAGACAGTCCCAGAATCCTAACCATGCCCCCTTTCACATTGAGGTGGTTCTGTGTTTTCCGTTGGTTGCGTCCTGTATTTGTGGTGCCCCTGTGTAGATTAAGCCTGGCTTTATCCTCCGTTTGGGTTGTTTCTTCATTGGTTAAGCTGCATTGGTTAAGAATATGGCTGTGCCCTGTATTTAGGCCTCTCTGAGTATCTGTGATGCCAGGGCCTCTTGCTTTTCTCTCTGCTCCTGCAGAGAGGACGTTATCTCCGTGCTATGGGTGTCTGTCTGTCTGTCTGTGCATATGTGTGCAAGTGTGTTGCTTGCCAACCTAAGCCTGGGCTCACATCTAGCTAAGTGCACTATGGAGAGTTCATGTCTGTTATCACTCCCTCTCATAATCGTTAGGACACAAACACATTACGCTCCCTTTTCTTTCTCTCTATTTGTTTGTCTCTTCCTCTCGCATATATGTGGGGGTACCCACATGACTCTTTCTGACTGAGTTAAACAAACAGTGAAACTCGTTTTTCTTTCAAGTTCAGGTTCAGGATGCTGTATTGGCTGACACAGTGTGTGTTGCCACAGCATTAGCATACAACAATAAAGTGTAGAAGGTAATGAAAAAACGTTTGTCTTTCTCTTTCTTCCCCTCTCCCTCTCTCAGGCAGGACAATGCAATCCTTTTAGCATCTACACAGTTGCTGACAACAGAGAAATACATAGTGTTTAGCAGGACAGCCTTCAAATCCAAACTCCAGACCTGCCATTGGTTAGGAACCCGGCCTGAATTCAGAGCGATATATACAGGGTGAAGCCAGGTTGCATGCTACCTGGTGCGTTTCCATGGATATGCAGTCAGAGGGTAGCATCAGAGATGGCGTTCATTTTTCATGAATCAGTTTTTCATCTTGCATTTTTCGTCTTTCCATGGCTTCCAGTATCGGCTGAAAAGTATAACCATCCTCTACTTAATTCCTTTAGATGTTCCTGAATGAACTGAAGTCAAGAATGGTCAAGTGTCTTAGGGTACTTTTGAATGGAGAAGTGCCTTTCAGTGGCATCCTTATGGTGGTCCCAAACAGTTCATCACTGATTTCCGCCACAGTCACATTTTGCTTTTACACCAGAAGCACACAGTTCCTGTGATTTTTGG